TTAATATTTTTTAGTAATGATTTTTCTTTTTTTTTTTTTTTTGTTCAATTACTAAAAATTAATTTCAAATTTAACTACAATGAACAGTTATTAAAAGATATATATATGATGGAAAATGTTTATAAATTATCTTGAAAAAAAGAAAAAATAATAACGATAATAAAAATTTCATATAATTTTTTTTTTTTTAGTATTCATAATAATTTGTCATAAATATTCAAAAATATTTATTTATAAAGGTACATTTTATTTTATATATTCAAAAATAAAAATTTTTTAATAGTTTGATAAAATATTATAAAGTGCATAATGTTATATATTTTTGCTTATTATAAATTATAAAAAAAAAAAAAAAAAAAAAAGAAAAAAAAATACATTATTTTTAACATTTGAGATGACTTAATAGTATATTTATAATTGATATAAAAATATAAAATAATATTATTAATTATATGAATTTTTAGAATGGGAGAACAATATAACACAGTATGAATTTCTTATATTTTATCTGACAATTTAGAAATATTTTTTATAATTAAAAATTTTTAATTCAAATGTTTTATTTATTTTAAGTACAAATAACAATATTTTAAAATAATTAAAAAAACATTTTCCTTATTATAAAATGTACAATTTTGTAAAAATATTTCAATCAAATTTTATAGGTATAAACACAATAAATAAATTGGAGATTTTTTTAAAAAACATATTTAGAATATATAGAACTCCTGGTAGGACTCATCTCTTAGCTCATGCAGCTGATGTATCATCAATATATGCAGTAAAGAAAATTTATAATTATATGAAAAATGATGATGAAGGAAAATTAATACTTAAAGAAAAGCCTTTATTAATAAGACAAGAAATATGTTTTAATGAATTAAAAAATTTGCCTAAAAACACATTAGGATATAAATATATGGAATTTTTGGAGACTTATAAAATACATGCTCATGATAGAGAAGTTGCTCATTTTTTTAATGATGCAAATTATTCATATATATTAACCAGATACCGACATATACATGATATAGCACACGTAGTTTATAATTTAAATATATCAATTGAATCAGAAGCAGCACTAAAATTAATAGAATTGATACAAACAAAATTACCTATAACACTGCTAGCAATTCTAGTTGCTCCTTTTATGACCCCTTTATATCGTTTTCAATATATTTTCAAAGATAAAATTCCTAAGAAATTTTTAAGTACTGATTTTGATTTTACATATAATGATTTATTCAATTATACGGATGAATTATCCATTAAGCAATATGAATACAATCTAACTGATTATTTTCATGTTGATAAAAGAGAAGATCCTTCTTTCTACTATAAATTATATAAATATTATTTTGATAATCTAAATAATTCAAACCATGTAAGAGGGTCTATAATATATGGATTTAAAAATAAAAGTAATAACGACATTTTTTATGATAAATTAAACAGTGAATATGTATATATAAAAAATTTTGAAAAAAAATATCTTCTTTTTCAATATAAGCCAAGAAAAACATTATTAAAACAACTATATCCATGGGCATACAAAGCAGGAGCATCAATAACAAAACCTTTACATTCAATTTATATTGAAAAATGGTTAGATAAGGATATTGATCTATTTAGAAAGCATTATAACATAATACCACTTCCATCACACTTAAATTTAATGGCAGGAATTAATTAATCATAAACTCACAATATCTTTACAATTTAAAAAAAAAAAAAAAAAAAAAAAAAAAAAATGATTTTATTCTTATTTGTTTCATTTTAAGCTATAATTTCATCATATTTCCTTTATTTTTTTATATCATAATTTTTTTTGTAAAATGTTTTCGATTTATATTTTATCAAATTTAAAAATATATTATACTTTTTTTTATTTTTTTTAATTAAATTTGATATAATTCATGGCTTTCGTATATTAATCTTATACCTATTATAATTTTTTAATATTAGTTTTACATATTTTCCATTTAGTATTAAAATTCTTTCCTTTTTTATTAATTTTTTATAGATTTAAATATTATTATTTAGCTTTTAAAGAATCTAATTTATCTTTAACATTTCTTCTATTTAATTTAAAGCTGGAAGTCATCCATTTCTTTAATTTATTCATTTCTATATGCTCTTTTTTTATATTTAACTTTTTTTTTAATCTCCTGTAAAAAAAAAAATAAAATAAGGTGTGAAATAATGGTATAAAATAGTTGATAAGATCAAAAAAATAAAATTTCTAAATAAAATAAAATACTATAAAAACGAGAGGATAAATAATATAAAATATTATTAAATATATTATTATCAAATAATATAAATATTATTATAATATATATTTAAGTGAAATGACAAATTCATTATGTTTAATATGAAAAAAAAAAAAAAAAAAAAAAAAAAAAATATATATATATATATATGTTTTTTTTTGCTTGTACCTCAGAGATTTTTTAGATTTGTATGTTCCTTTTTTAACATATGTGCTCCTAAAATTTTTTTCATAATTATTATATAAAATATACATATTTATTTTTTTATATTTTTCCATATTTTCTTTCAAATTTTTATTTTTATGTATAATATTGTATATATCTTCAGCTACCGATAAAATATATCCTCTTTTACAGTATAAATAATTTTGAATAAAAAAATTTATATCACCTATGTTTTTTTTGAAATTTAATAAATCATTTAAAAAATCAATTAACTTACTTTTTGTATTTAATATAATATTTTTTTCTATAATAAAGGTTATATTAGAATAACTTTTATTTTTAAAATTTTTTTTGAATAATTTCTTTTTTTGTATATAATATAATGATGCAGATATAAAAGAGTAACCATATTTTTCATAAATTTTTCCAGCTTCTTCTAAATGCTTATTATCGTCAATAATAACATCCTGAATTTCTTCAATTAAAAAGTTAAGAAAATTATTCTTCATTTCTTTTAATGGAGGTAACATATAATTTGTAAAATTAATAAGATTATTTAATATTTCATACTGTTTATATTGTTTTTTATTATAAAACAAAATAGATTCAATATGTCCTTCAAATACTGAAGTTTTATTATTTTCAGAATAAGGATTATTATAATTTTCATTTTTAATTTCTTCAATTTTGTCATTTTTTATGTTAAAAAAATTATTTGACATTATATCTACATATGTATTTACATTTTCAACAAAGGTATAATGAATGTATAAATTTGCATTAATTTCATAAATTTTTTTAATATTTTTATCATTCGTAACTAATATATAATCGCTATTTTTATTAAATGTATTTATAATATTACTTTTACATTTTATTTTATATGTGTTAGGTAGAAATATACATGGTATATAAGAATTGATGAAATTGTAAAAAGAATATATATCATTTTTATTATAATAAATTATAATTTTTTTATTTTTATTCTCACTTAGAAGATAAAATAATATTAAAAATTTTTTATCTTCGTTTAATGGAACATTAATACTAAAATGTTTACAGTTGCTTTTTTTATATTCATATAAATCAAAACAATTAAAGTCATTTATATTAGAATAAAATTCGTTTTTAAAAAAATTTAAATTTTTCTCAAATTTAATATTATATTTTATACTTTTAAGGAAATGTAACATTTCTTTTATAATCCATTCATCATAAATTTTGTTTATTAAAAGAATTTGTATGTTATTCCCTTTTATTTGTTTTTCTTTGCAGTTTTTTAAAATATTTTTTAATATATTTGATTTTTTATTTATATATATTTCATATATATCATCTACAACAATAAAATTTATATGCTCAAATAAAATACTAAAATCATAAGTATCACTAAAATTTTCTATGTTTAAAATAATAATATTATATAAAAAAAAATTACTTTTTATATTATCAGCACTTTTTTCGTTTGATATTATATGTGTTGAAATATCAATACTTTTTAATTTTATTATTGTTTCATGAATTAATGAAATTTGTTCTTTTGAGCATCCTAAAAATAAAACGCAATTATCTAGGTAAAAATTATTTTTTTTTTTTTTTTTTTTTATCTTTTCATTAGTTATATTATCAATAGATACATTTATATTATCTGTAATACCATTATGGATTTGATGGTTTAATATATTTTTATTAGATGCATTTGTTTTTAATGAATTTATTTTATAAAAAGAATAAATAATATATGATATCAAACAATCAGAATATGCTAAATTCATAAAAACATTAGTATATCTTAATAATTCTATTAATAAAAATTGATATGCATATAAATAATATATGTTATTTTTATTTAAGAAATCTTTTATAAAAATGTTATTTATTTTGTCTATATTTATTATTTCATTTTTATCAGAAGAGAATGTCTTTTCTTCTTTATACGATATTTTATTTAAGTAGATACCTTCATTATCTTTTTTTTTTTTATTATATTTAAATTTGTTTTTAAAAAATTCATTTTTCAATTCCTTCTTTTTTGATGATGAAATGATAAATTTTCTTTTATCGCTTTTGTTATATTTTCCTATAAGTACACTATAGTTACAATGTTGAGTACATAAATCTATAATTCCAATGTGCCTATATCTATATAAAATTCTTTTAAATTCACCTGAGCCAAAATTACTTATTCTTTTATTTATCATATTATAAGGAATATTGAAAAAAAGAAATTTACAATCTCATATATGTTTCTCCTCCTCTTTTTTTTTTTTTTTTTTTTTTTTTAATTTTTTTTAAATATATTCTTCATTAAACACGTTTATATGCCTTTTCATATAATTCGCTTATCCATAATTCCTATATAATTTTTTTTTAATATTTTTTTTTTTTTTTGCAAAGTCCTATTATGTAAACATTTTTCATGTATGTTAACTTTTTACATTATTTATATAAAATTTAAACATATATATATATATATATTTAATTATTTAACTAATTATTTATTTATTATAATTAATAACGCCGTTTATATTTTTATTTTTTGAATTTAACATATTTCCACTTATAATTACAAGAAAATTAAATTAAGTTTAATTTTATTATCATTTTCATAAAAGAAATAAAAAAATAATTTATTTCCCCATTAAAATAAACATAAGTGTAACCTATGTGTTTTTTTATAATATATTTTATACTTTTTCTTCATAGAATCTTTTTATTTAAACCAATTAAATGATATATCCTTTTAATTTTTTTTTTTTTTTTTTTTTTTTTAATTCAACACATTCAACATGAACATTCCATCTTTTTTTTTTTTTTAAATTTTTATTTTAAAATTTTGAATAACAAAAATTTATGTTAATATTCTTTAATAGAATATATTTATAAATTTATTTTACTATATGTATAATAATTTTCATTATTAGGAATTTCATTAATATTAAAATTTTAATTTTTATACTTTTAAATTACTTTATTAATAGTTTTTTTTTTTTTTAATTAGTAAAAATATCAAATAATATTTTTTTTCTACATAAAACATATTTTAAATCCTATTAATTAATGTAAATATATAATATATACACATATACATGTATATATATACATATTTTTTTTTTTTTTTTTTTTAAAATGTCTGGTTTATTAACTAATTTAAATATCGAAAGTGGTTATTTTAATGAAGAATTAAAAGAAGAAACAAATGAATCAAATTTTATGTATACTAACATTAGTATGTTAATAAGAGCCTATAAAAAGGATAGAAATAAATTGATGCTTTTAAATAAAAAATTGAATCTAATTAAAATAGTTGGATTTGTTATAAATATTGAAGAAAAAAAAGAATTCATAGTTTACACAATTGATGATACAACTGGTTATATAAAAGCAAAATTACTATTAACATATTCATTAAATTCTTATAATGAAAAGAAAGAAGATATAAAAATTAATGATCTAATACAGATATTTGGTCTTTGTAATACTGTTAGTATTAACGAAGATTTAACTATTTCAATAAGCTCAATTAACAAATTAAATTCTTTTAATTATTTGTGCCATCATCATCTATTAGTTTTTCATAATTATTTAAAATATACAGAAAACGAGAAAAAAAGTTTGACTGATAAGACAAAAAATGAATATGATGAAAATGCTTCCGTAAAAAATAATGATAATCCTTTTTTTAATTCCTTTTTTTATTAAAGTATTCATCTTTTTGACTTTCCACAAAATTTAATGTATTTTATTTTTTATAAAAACAATATGAATTGTTTTTTTATGATTGTTACAAAATTATACCTTTTTGCAGAAACTTTTTTTTATCATTTTTTATATTAGATATTTCATATATCTTTTTTTTATATTAGCTATATTTGTTTTCTCTCTAATTTTTATAATTAATAAATTAATTCCATTTTTTTTTTTTTTTTTATTACATAAATTATATGAAAGCTCATAATTTTAAAACTATATTTTAAAAAAATTAATTTTTTTACTTAATAAAGTCTATACAGAAATTCGACATCGTTAACTTCTAAAATATTAAAATTATGTTAAATTTATATATAAGTAAAATATTAAGATCTTTAATAATTTAAAGACTATTTTATATATATATAAATATATATATATTAAATAATATATTAATTATACATGTATTTTTTATTTATAGGTGTATATTTCATTTACACTTTTTTTATAAAAGTATAAATATCCATTTAATCTTGTTTTGTAATTTTTTTTCTTTTTTTTTTTTTTTTTTTTAATAAAATTATTATTTTTTTTTTTTTTTTT